CTAGCATTTTTGCTCTCACATCTTACACGAATAAATCTTAAAACCCCAAATAGCCTTTTCAAAAATACTGCATGACGTATTACATAAAAAAAAAAAAAACACACATTTTCCGTTTTGTTTTTTCTTTCTTTTTTTTTTTTGCGAAAAAGAGCTATTAGTCTTTTTGAAGAGGGAACAAAAGAACCCCTTCTGAAAGTGCCATACGCGTACATGCCAAGATGACGAAAACGTATTTACCTTTTTGCCCTGGCGTACACGCACATAATTTTATGTACGCATAAATGTATGTGTATGAAAAGAAAAAAAAAAAAAAAAAAAAAAAACAATCGTCAACATCCCATTGTGCAAAAACAAAAGGGAGAAATGATGTGAATACATTTTTATTTTTATTTTTTTTTTTTTTTGATATGCCTTTTTTCCATGCAGACTACTTCGTTATACATGCAGTCCAGTCCATTCCTCATTCATGTCGCTTTTTTAAAATGCAAAAATAAGTGGGCATTATTTTTTCCTTTTCCTCGAAGTTGTCCTTTCATTTTCTACTGCTTTTTGCCTTTTTTTTTATTTTATTTTATTTTTTTTTCACCCCCTCCTCGGGAGAATTCTCAATCGACGAAATCGCTTTATTTTCCGCATGATTTATACGCCATTGCATAGGAAATTTGCTCTGCCAAATGAATTAGTGTGTTAGCTCGCTCGTTATTCGGTTTGGCAATCTGCACGTACTTGAAAGTACGCAACAATTGTACGTTACTACGTACTCGCTTATATGCCTTTTTATGTCATCCATAAAGTACCTACTCAAGCACGCTGCCCCACGTTTTCATGTGCACCCCGGCCTTCCCTCCTGCACTCGATATGAGCCTCGAAGGTTCCGTCAACAGCTGACGTAACCAGATAATATAATGTTACCCAAGCTGTTATTTTTCCGTTCCCATTTAAACGAAGTTCATTGGGGCTTGTGTTTTTTGCACCATTTTTTTTTTTTTTTTTTGCCACACACTGTAAGGGTAATCACCTTATAAACAGCGTGTAACGCCGTCGGGGAAGAAGCGGCAGACGTTTGTGTGTACACATGGGAAGGTAGGAGGCGCAGTCGGGATAAGCAGCTGATCGAAGAGGCATCCAACCCGATTGCGTCTTCCCAGCAACCGTCCATACAGAACAAAACATCGAAACGCAGAGGGGAGGAACCTCCGGACGGATCAGCTACCAAGACGCGCTGTTAAGGGCACCCCGAGTGAACCATGAGGAGGAATGACTGACGAGAGGGAAACACATTTGAAAAAAGCACCCGCACACATTTTTGTAAAAGTTGATCCGCTCTTAAGTAGGGCATCCGACAGCAAGTCTACGCACATCGTCGAATGAACATCTGTGAGATTAGGACTGCAGTGTACCAATCAGCCCCTTTTTTTTTGTGTGCACCCGGCCTGTCCACACCACAGGATTCTCCGCAAAACGGACCGGTTCATGACACCCCACAAAAAACGTGTTTAGACAACAAATTTTTTTCCGTTTAAAAAAGCAGAAAAAGGAAGAAAATGAACGAAACGAAAAAAGGAGATAATGTAATAATAAACGATGTAGCAGAAAAGGTGGAGGATTTTAACAAAATAGACGAGTCAACAGAAAGGACACAAATTTATCACGACGATTTATGCGACAATGACATAAAAATATGTTTACCATCGAGAATAGGCTTTCTTGCAGCAATCAAATCCATGACGGATGGAGTAAAATGGGGATGGGGTTTTACTAACACGCCAAAGGAATCTTCAAAATATTATATAAATGAAATATTGTGTGGATGTATATTATGCCTTACCATGTTACCAGAGATGATATCCTTTTCGATGATTGCTAATATTCCTCCTTACATGGGATTGCAAGGTGCATCTTTCCTTTGTTTAATAACGTCCATTTTTGGAGGATCGCCTGCTGTGATCCATGGTGTGACGGGTGCCTTTGCATCTGTGTGTTCAAAGTATGTAGTGGAGAATGAAAATGTGAATCTGTTACCAGAAGGAATTGAACGGTTGTATGTGTGCATCCTGATCTGTTCTGTGATGCTTTTTTTCTTTTCTCTTTTTCATATGTCTGCCTTGATTCAGTTAATTCCGACCCCCGTTTTTATTGGGTATTGTAACGGACTGTCCATCATTTTTTTGAGGGCACAGTTACACACGCTGAAGGACCCCCGTACGCATGAGTACATTAAGGGGTACTATTTGCTTTTTTTCGTTATCATTTGTACTCTGGTGGTTATCATCGTGGAGCTTTGGAAGAAGATCCCGAAGGTGAGTGGGGAATGTGTCATCGCCTTACCTTCGTGCGCGCGTTAGATATCGTGTATCGCTTTCCGTGATGAGGGGTTGCTTAATTGCCCTTTGCACGAAATGTCTAATAGTACGCCTCTGCTCGTCGCGTCTTCCTGCACTGTGCTGACGTGACAACCGCTATCCATTTTCATCGCTCCTGCCCCTCCCCCGCATCGCAGCTGGGCCACAAGGTCCCGTCCACTCTAATAGCAATAACAGTCACCATATTCGTCGAGTTTGTGATCCTGAGAGGATATCTGCACAACAATTTCGAGTCCTTCAAGGGTGTGAAATCCTATACAGTGGGTGACTTGTTTTCCTTTACGTCAGATAAAGCCAAGCCAACCTTTTTATTCACAAATAAAGAGTTAAATTTTAGCAAAGTGGTATTTAATATGGACCTTATTCAGCAGGTGGTGAACATGTTTGTGGTGTTACTACTCGAAGTTTTGATGGTCAGTGAAGTTATAAAAGACATGGGAGGTGCAGAATGTGATACGAATGAAACGGTTTTTTCTCTTTTTATTGGAAATTTGTTGGCCACCTTGGGAAGTGCTGTAGGGGGTAGTAGCTTGTTAGGGCTTTCTGTATTGAATTACAGAAATGGGGCAAGGGGAAAAGAAAGTGGAGTTGTTGCTTCCATTTTAATATATGGCATTTTGCTCTTTGGATACTCCTTACTGAATTACATCCCCCTTTCCTTTCTCTGTGGGATTATGATTACTGTGTTTATTCATTGCTTCAAATGGTTTTCCATCCCCATTGTGTTTTTTACTTTCTGCCCTGCGAATATAAGGAATTGCCACCCGTGCATGAGCAGGAAGATCTCCAGATGGGACGCCTTCATCATCGTCCTCGTCACGGTCCTATGCGTAAGGGAAAAAAAAACACAAAAATGGAGTCTCCACACGATAATAAGTGAAATTGCGCAAGTGTGGAGGCGTTTTTGTGTTAACCTACACATCACGCAACATTTTTTGCACGTGCACTCATTGTTGGTGCTCCGCTTGGCCCTGCCGAAATGGCGCAGTGTTCTTTTTCCACTATGCATTATTGCTACACGTGATTACTGTTTGCACCCCCCCATTTTTACAGGTCTTCGTGAGTGTACCCACCGGAGTTTTCGCGGGAATAATTTTATCCGCTCTGGTGTACGTATGGCAGAGCAAGTCCACATTTAAGTTTGAAATATTTTACGACAAAGACACAGACACGAAGGTAAGACTCAGCGGAAAGTTCAGTTGGGGGCTATTCGTCACCTCGCACAGGATTGCACTGAAGCGGAAAAAGGAGGGACGAATAAGGCACGTTTGCGTACTACAGCAAGCTATGCCCACGCACTGTCACCGTTCCCTTTTTCACATTTCCCTTTTTTACATTTTTTCACCCCCCTCACTTAGTACTACGAAATCGAAGGCCATCTGTTCTACGCGTCGAAGAAGATGTTTACGAGGCTGTTTAGCTACGAGAACGACAGTTCCACGGTCAACATTGTCCTTAAGGGAAAAAGCACCCTCTTTGATTACACCGCTATTGAGGCCCTGACGTCAGTGAAGCAGCAGTATAATTTGAACAACCGTAATTTAACCATCCATGGCCTGAGCCATGAGTGCATTAAAAAAATAGCTAAAATGAATCACTTGTGTAAGCAAATTGATGTGGATTTGGTCAAAGTGGAGGCTCCAGTCGTGCCCCTCCTGTACAAGCCCCTGCGAACGATTTTGAAGGTACCCCCCCCTCTACACTGATCGATCAGTAGTATTGCGAATTGTTTCCAATCACTGCCATGTCATGCACCATTTCGTTCCTACCACTCATGACGGCGACGTCCTGTTTCCCCCCCTCACCGCAGACGCAAAAAACCATAAGGAGAAGAATGTCCTTCAAGAAGAAGAAAGAAAAAAAGGAATCAGTGAGCGACAAGTCCGTGGAGGAAGTGGAGCCATAAGACGAAATAGACACGTGTATATGTGTACCTATCATGTGCGTAATTTTTTTTTGGCCCATTGCGTGTTTAAAACAAATATGCTGGCATTACTCATTCATGCGTCCCTGTTCCCCCGAGTGCCTTTTCCCTCCTCTGGCAATTTTGGCTCAACTAGCCAAACTGGGTCAATCTTTTTTTCCCCCCCCAGTTCTCTCCCCCCCAATAATGGAATTTTTTTTAATTTATATTTTTTTTTAATTTATTGTTTTGTTTTTATATACACAAAAAAAGCACTCCCCCATCAGCGCGCAGTTTATTTATGTATAATTCAGAAGAGAAGCACAACATTGTGCGTGCGTGTGTATTCATTTGTGTACATATGTATACGCGTGGGGGTTGACCTGTGTAGCTCTGTTTGGATTATCATTTCATTGTCGTGTTTCTCCCTCTTTTCATTTCTCTCCTCTCCTGTGCGCACTTTTTTTTTTTTTAAAACTTCCAATTTGTTTTTCCTACTTCGTTCTTCCCCTTTATGAGCACCCCCACACCGGCCCGAAGCTCGCCGCCTTATATATTGTCCACCAGGCGACTATCACCCCCCTTGTGTATGGCTCCTTATGCTTTTAAACGCTTTTTTTATGTACTCTAGTTTTTCATCATAATTTCTGTAAAGAAAAAAGAAATTATGTGCATATGAAATTGTCACACATGTACACCCACTGATGTGTTTATATATAAGTGGTGCATGCATTTTATAAATCCTTCCCATCGCCCCTTTTTTTGTTTTTTATGAACTTTTTAATATTGCAGTAAACTTTTTTAATGTTTTTTGTAACATACCTAAGCTTCTTCCACTCGTATTCGTACAGCACGATGGGGTTCCTGAGGGAGGGGTGCGGGTGTAAGGGGCATGTAAGGTGTTGTTGTAACCCGGCTGAAGTGAGCACCCACATGAACACGCCAGACACGCATAAACCTACCATCCCAAAAACTTCAGGTTGCGAATCCTGTGGTTTAGATGGTGCCGGTGGAATTTGTGAGGGTTGTCCTTCATGTTCCTGTTGATGCTCCTGTTGTGCACAAATTCGACGTACACGTTTTGGAACTCCGGCAGGTGCGTGATGGGGTAGATGTGGACGAGCTTACGCGCTAGTTTGAATCTACGTGGATGAGAAAGGGGGGAAATGAATGTGTATCGCATGGATGAACAAGACGGATGGGAGTCATTCTACGGAGGACAGATTTTCATGTTTTGCGCGTAACTACAACTTGGGCGTAAGCGTCCCTGTTTGCTTACCCGCTCTCCTTGACAAAAAATGTGGCTTGTTTTGTAAAAATGGTCTCCCGTGGATCCTTGCCTGCGAACATGGAATGGATCACATTGGTGAGGACCACATTGGTGAGGACCACATTGGTGAGTACATCGGTGATGAGCAGCGCATGGGTGAGTGCCCCTTGTGCAGAGTCTGACCCCGTGTGGGCCTTTTACAAGAAACAATTTCTCTCTCCTCGTGTGTTACCTTCCACCCGCAGCTGCTTCACAAAATCGAAAAAGTGCGAATTCGGGCTGTAGACGCTGTTGTATAGGAAATTGTCCGATCGGATGAGGAGGTCCAGGAATTTGAGACGGTACAAACTGACTGAGGGGATTGGTGCAGATGGGCCCCCATACATCATGTGCTGATTTTCCTTCGTGTTGAAGTAAATCTGATGAATGTTGCTGATGTTGTCGTTGCAGATGGCGGCATTGGAGGTGTTGTTCCTACTGTCTTGTCCTCCAAAATCGTGGTTCGTGTCCAGCACGACATTATTATTGTAGTTGTATTTTTTATACGTAGGGTATTCCTCCTCCTTCCTAATGCCCATAAGTTCAACTTTTAGTAAATCAATTAGCTTGTTGACATTTTTGTAGTTGTGATAATTACAAAGAAATAAATTGTATATGACTTTAATTAGTGTGTGCAAATTTTTTTTTTCTTTTTTTTCATAATTTTCTCGAAGCATTTCTAGCAGCATGTGGATGTCTGCAATTTCGCAGTTGAGGCGAGAACAGGATTTAATAATGGTGACTAAATAATTGGACATGTCCTCCTCCTCCATTTGATTGCTTCTTTTAACAATCTCATTTATGCATCGGGAAAATACCTTCTGGTTGATCCATTTTTTATCCTTAAAGGACGAGATCAATTTGACCGTTTCAACAAGTTCCTCCAGGGTGTACTCTTCTATAAGATTATTTAACTCAGAGTAAATATAATTATAAATAATTTTGTCATGATCTACATTGAGGTAGATAAGGTACTTAAGTGTTAGAAGTAGGGGAGGTATATCTACATCATTATGTTCATTTGTATGTTCTTTCCTTCCTTCCTTTTTCTCTTCTCCGTTGAGCAACTGCACATAGGACAGCACTACCATTTTTAAAGTCTCCTTTTTTAAGGGCACCCTTTTTGATAGCAAAATGCTGTAGGTAAAAATAATTTTAAAATCTTTGTTTTTTAAAGTAGATAATATGTCATCAGTAAATAATTCATGTGCACATTCTTTAATCTCCTTTTTATAATTTTTGTAAGACGATATACAAATTTGTTTCTCTTTTTTATATTGTTCAATACACTGTATGAGGTTACTAGACACTTTTTCAAATTTGTGCACTTCAATGTGTATGGTTCTCATTGCATACATGATTCTGTTCAACGTCGTGCCTTTTCTGTCACACCCTAAAGTGAATTTTATCCTCTTCGCCCACATCATTATTTGTATATTCTTCATAACAGGTACCCCTTTACAAAGGGGGACAGGTGTGTGTGTGGAGGGGGGGGCGTTACAACTGCGCTATGCTTTACAGTTGAAAAGCGGACTGACTAAGGGGTGTACTGTTGGTACGAATGGACCTTTGTAGGTATACAAAAATGTTGGCAACAACAAATAGAGTTGCCATAGCTCCAATCTTTGTGCCCTCTTAAAAAAAAAAAGGGGGGTATATATATTCCGCGCGGCTCATTTTGTATTACACTTGCACAGAATCGATTTTTACAGCATACCTGTTTGCGCCGTTGCCAGGGGCGCTTTTCGAGAAGGCAGAAAAATCGGCATTAGGGGACGTGGGAAGTATCCTTCCCTTAAGCATCTACAGAGGAGGGGAAGAATACACAGCGGCAAACGCACTTTCAAAGTTAGGCGTAGCCATTTTTCCATCTCACTTCCTCTCCCCTATTGTTTCACAAACTGCGGGCGCGGGCAGGGCCAATAAAAAAAACGGCAAGCAGGTGGCAACACTCACGTATGCACCTAAGCGGATGTCATTTGAAATTGCGCCAACATGAAACAGCACCTTGCGCATTACACCCTGTTCCAGAAGGGACAATTTTGGGGCAGAGCCACACAAAAGATGCACCGTACCTTACCATGCACAGTGCTCCCCAGCTATGTTCACGAATATGGAAGAAATATAAATAAAAAATGAGGAGTGAAAATTTGTAAGGTTAAAAAAAAAAAGGGGGAGAATGTACGTGAAACAGAGTTCCTCCTGTTGGAGAAGAGGGGTTCTTTTCATTAGGAAAAAAAAAAAAAAAATAGCAGCGTGCTTCTTAAAAGCGAAAGGGATGGAGACACGCAACGAAATGTTTAAAGAGGGGTGACGAGTCGGAAAACACATGTGAATGGGGGACGTAGTGGAGGAGCCCCATTCCGTATTCACATGCGGTGTAGATGTTGCCAAGGTACAAATGAACAAGTCACGGAGATCAAAAGGGCAAACGCGGAAATGGGTACGCAAGAGGGGGGAGGGGGAAAAAAAAAAGCAATGTTGTGAGGATAACTACAGTACAGGAGGAAGCACAAATTGGTACAACTGTGCATCACATGTGAATACTTGAGATGTGTTTATATGTACGCGGGGGGGGCGGCGTGTGAACAGGACCCTCGCCGCCCCCTTTTTTTCCGTGTCCATTTGGACGGCTTTCCATGGCTACACGCCCGACCATCTGTGCGAAAGCGGAGCGCTGGGAACAAGAAAAAAAGGCAAGAAAAGAAAAGCGAAGTAAAAAAAAAAAAAAGAAAACAAAAAGTAAAAAATTGGACTGTCCCCCACACAAATCACACTATATTCTTCAACACGTTGATCTTCTTGTAATGGTCGATGCAGATGCTGTCAGGAGAAGACATAAGGTAGTACTCCCCATCCACCTGAAAATAAACATTACACACTTGCTCTTTAAAAAGTATTTTCCAGGGGCCATTTCCTTGGTGCACCCTAAAGGCCCTACCCTTGAGGGTGAATTCCAACCCCAAGTCTATTCCTGACTGATAAATGACAAACTCCAGCACACCATCCCCCACCTCCTGATGGGATTTTTTTAACTCTTTATACACTTTTTTCTGTTCAGACGGTAAATCCTTTGGTAATTTTAACCCAATTTTATGCGTATAATTCCATATGTCATTGCCAGAGGAGTACGAAGGAATGTTCACGCATATAATGCTCATTGCTTTTTTCAGTACAGGGGGGGCAGGAGATGTGCTGTCATTACGGCTAGTGGTAAAAATAACATTGTCGTAATTTTTTCCAGTAACCATTTTGTCAATAAGTAAATTAACAGGAATATTTTTTTTAAAAATAATTTTTTTAAATCCCTCAATGACATAAATGAGTTTATTAACAAAAGCACTTTTCTGTCTGTGCCTTTCAAATCCTCTACCTATCCTTGAATCTATCCCTATACTGAAATAATTGCTCATGCATAATTTTAACACCTTTACATTTTTTTCATTCTCAGTCAGGGTTTCCTTTTTTTTCGTCTTCGAACTGATTTTATTAAAATACCCATCTTCCTTCAACACCACATGGACGTTCCAATAATCATGCTTCTCAATTTTGGACTTGAATGTTTGATTTACTATTTTTTTTAAAATGTCAAATAAATAGGTGTAGTTAAAAAAGCCATCCATTTTTTTCCATCCAAATGCATTGGCAAAATCGTTCCCTGTTCCAAAGGGAATTACTCCTAGGGCAATTTTATCGTCCTTAATATCATACTGTTCTGCTTCTTTTAGAAACCAGTTTAGCGTTCCATCTCCTCCTGCCACTAGGACGTAGGCACATATGTTTTCATGTTCCCCAACTGTGCCTTCAGTGTTATCACTACTTGTCTTTTGTAAGTTGTTTCCCTTCTTTGTGCCATTGGGGTGGTGGTCTTCTCCTTTGCTGTTCGCACCACTTCCAGTTCTGTTACTTGGCTCATTTGTTCCGTTCTCACTGAAGTTATGACTAGGGTTGTCGTTCGGCGTGCCGCTTTTCCCCTCCAAGGACTGGCTACTGTTGTTAACAGGGTTCGTCGAGTTGGGCGTCACGAACTCACTTTTAATTTCAGCCTCGCTCGGGCTGTTCGTCACAGAACTGAGGCGCAGGAATCCGGGCTTCTTCCCATTCTCGCCCTCCAAAATATTGTAAATGGAGAAGTGGCATTCGTGCGGCTTGTGGAATACTATATCGTTGACTCCAAACTGGGAAGTGGTGAAGGGGTGGTGAAGCGGTGAAGTGGTGATGCGGTGAAGAGGTGATGCGTGAAGATGCACACCCGCGGGATACCCGCGGGTTGTCCACGTGTACGTACACGCGTTGCTGCACGTGCGCATGCCGCAGTCGGGTCTTACCTCGGTGAACATAGATGCTCTATTCCCCCCCGCAGTAGGATTGACAAACAGAAAAATATGCTTCATCTTTTGGTTGTTCCAACATTAGCCAATAAAGCGTTGATAAGTTTTCTTTTTTTTTTTTTTTTTTTTTTTTTTTTTTTTTTTTTTTTGGGACTAGCTATGTCCAGTGGAGAAGGAAATATTCAAAATGGTGAAGGGCAACAAAGGGTGTCAAAGCCGACAACTCATGGTTTCGTTATTGTTAACGCTTTTGCATTTGCATTTGAATTTGCCTTGGCTTTTACCCTGGCGCCCGACTCGTTTCAGTCCTAAGTATTAGGTTTCACATGCGCGTTTTCTCCGCCTTCCTGCGCCCCCATAACTCGGAGAGTTACCCCACGGGCATGCAGCTGACAAACAGAAAAATATGCTTCATCTTTTGGTTGTTCCAACATTAGCCAATAAAGCGTTGATAAGTTTTCTTTTTTTTTTCTTCTTTTTTTTTTTTTTTTTTTTGGGACTAGCTATGTCCAGTGGAGAAGGAAATATTCAAAATGGTGAAGGGCAACAAAGGGTGTCAAAGCCGACAACTCATGGTTTCGTTATTGTTAACGCTTTTGCATTTGCATTTGAATTTGCCTTGGCTTTTACCCTGGCGCCCGACTCGTTTCAGTCCTAAGTATTAGGTTTCACATGCGCGTTTTCTCCGCCTTCCTGCGCCCCCATAACTCGGAGAGTTACCCCACGGGCATGCAGCTTTAGCACTGGGCCAGAAGGAAAACTTTAAAATGGCTTCAAACATTCGTGGGGCGGATGCGCACTGACTTGGTCCCTGCATGAGCAATCATCTTTAAAAAAAAAAATGCGCCAGAGTGAACAATTTTAATTACTACATGCTATGCAGAAAAATTAAAAGAAAACAAAAAAAAAGGGCCTAGAAAGGGAAGGAGGATAAAGTGCATGTGCATCGCGTGTTCTTGCAGGGATATAAATATATATTCACGTTAATACTTGCCACATTGACACGTACCAATGCGTGCACATGGCCTATCCGCTACGTATACACATATCAATCGCGAAAAGGAAACGCGCTCCATAAATATGCTGAATGCATACATTTGGGCAATGTATGTGCGTAGTTTTGCGATGATATCATATGCGTTAATTTACACAAAAAGGAAAAAAAAAAAAAAAACAGGAAAAAAAGAAATTATCCAGTCTTTCGTTTCACTAACTTTTGCTCACACGAAAGGAACAAAAATATAAAATGAACAAATGCGAATAGACAGTGAGTTTTATTTCCCGTTTTAAGTGTAAAAAAAAAAAAAAAAAAAAAATTGCATATTAGTAAATTGTACCACATTGAAAAAAAAAAAAAATGCAAACGCTTTTTTCTTTTTTTTTTTTACGTGACATTGCAGAAATGGAAGTCCGTAATTTTAGGGAGGGTAAAATGTAGCACCCAGGTGAAATAAATAGGGAGAAAAAACAGGCGGAGTAAAAAAGTAAAAACAAAAATAATAGCAAAAAACTAAACTGAACAAAAACAAACGGACAAAAACAAAACCCAAATGCCTTGGCTAAAACGTAAATGGAATAAGAAAACAGTTGCACTGGACGATCGGGAACTGGGTGAAGGAGTGCCAACCCGCTTGTCCATTCCGCTTGCGTCTATGTGTAAGAGTTTCACCTTTTTCCAGCAGCATCAAATCACGGAAAATAGGGGGGGCCATTTGGGTAGCCTTCCAAGTGCGGATACTCGGGGGCGTGCAAAATGTATGTGCTCACACTTGATTTATCCATTTTAAGGTGTTCATTTGATTATTTGTCCTTCTCCTTTGTCCCTTTGCCTAATCTTCCCCGCGCCCAGCTTATCAACTGGGAAAACTCCCCGATTAGTGATAGATCCCGGCGGGGGAAGAATCAAACTTGCACAAGTTATGCTTGTCGACGGAATTGTAAAAAGAACCATCGCTACTGGATTCAAAAATGGTGTTGATCTTGTCCTTCTGTACATTTTCATAATCCTCATATATGTCTGAGCACGCATTTGCTACATCTAAAAACGTGTAATTCGTGGGTTCTGTGACGGCTTTCTTCATGTAGTTCTTCATTTCGGTGTATCCACTATACATGTCGTTGTTGTAAATGAAGAATAAACACACCGACAGGAAAAAAAGAAATACGAATAGAAATAAAAATACTACTGTGTCACAGAAAAACCAGAAAATGCATGGGAAGATGGACAGCACCATTCCAGACATGATTAGACTTGTGCTCAGTTTCCACAGGGCATGCTGCAAAAGGTTAGGTGATTTTTTTTTTTTTTTTTTTGTTACTTATAAATGGGATTAAGCGCTGTGATTGTGTGCATCGTTCGTTGGTGCTTGGGTATTTTTTTTTTGTTTTTTTTTTTTATGTATGCGCACAGGCGCTCAACTTACACGCGAGTTGTCTAGCAGGAGAGAGTATATCTGAAAGGACACCATCGCGTAGGTAATTAGCCTTATGAGCCACAAGGACTTTATATTACCGTAATTCCTGTGGATAAAATCTTTGGTCTGGTTGATCATTATTTTGTTGTCCTCGGAGAGTAAGACAACTTTCTGCTTCATGATGTCAACTCCTTCAATTTCAAATATTGTATTTAGCAGCCTAGCCCGCTGAACTCCGATCACCGTTGCGTGCGTAGACGCGCTCCCGTAAAAGGACACGCGCACATCCCCGACCTACAAAAAAGGGGTGAGAATGCGCATATGCATATTGGGGCACAATTCAGGTGTATCCTTCTGCCTTTTTTATACATAGGCGGGAAATCTTCCTGAACGGGTTAAATCTGACTAAAGCGCTCCCCCGCCTCAAATGCGTTATACTTGTGGATTCAGAGGATCTCCAGTGTACAAATAATTATCATAAACGTTCGTGTTCAAATGGTCCAGGGTAAAAGGAGGTTTTATTTCCGACTCAGTGAACCAGCCGTCATCCACTAAGTCCAACTTTTTTTTCTTTTGAAAATTTATCAGAGCATTCGTAGGAAGTCTGTAGTTTCCAGCTTTGGCATAACTGGCATACTGCAGCAGGAGAAAAAAAAAAAACAAAAAAAGGGGTGATGGTGCTACAACTGTACAATAGCTTATGCCTAAATGTGAGCACATATATGTAGGCTTGGACACACCTTTGCAAAGGTCTTCAAGTCACACAAAATTGTATATATGTACGTGTGCATGCGGTCATGCATATGGAAACACGGAGACACGCCGTTGCTCGTGCAACATTGCTCACCTTTCTCCCCACATTTCCGACGGCCGGCATGTACTCAGGATTTTTTCTACTTTTATAGAAGAAAAAAAAATTGTAAGGAGTCCTAACTACATGATCCTCAAATTTTCCCCGTGCTAACAACCCCAAGTACCCATACCCCCTAACCCACTGGTACATCTCCACTTTTATTTCGAAGAATACGCCTCGAAATGAGTAGATGTTACTGCTGAATTCCGGTGGTGCATAAAATATTTCCTGGTCTTGTAGCGGGCAATTCTGTCACACAAAGCGGTTAACAATGGATGCAGCCGTTTGGCATAATTATACTTTGTGCTATATATTGAGAGTGTGCAAGTAAAGCGATTCACACGCAGTTTTTCCTTTTTTTTTTTTTTTTTTTTTTTTTTTTTTCTTACAATATGTATGATTTTTCCATTGTTTTCCTCTAAAGGGATGCAGGAAACCTGCAGTGAAAGGGGGGGTCTCAATTAAAGATAAAATTTATGCAGCTATTTTGTTACTATTTGTTATGATTCATTTTCAGTCCATTCCGCGGACAGCTTCCTACCGGTATGGCGTTCTTTATTATGGGTCTTAATTCTTTCGAATACGTTACATATTTGTACTCGTTGACGATGGTGAATATTAGGAGTATTATTGTTAGTGCCGTCGCAGATATAGATAAAATCTTTTGAGGCACGCAATATTCTTCATTGCTAATCATTTTTTTTTTTTTTTTTTTTTTTTTTGGTAAAATGAAACAATTGTCAAAATAAGCAAACGGATAGACTTGTTTTTATTTTTAGACAGACATTTGATTAAACAAATGATAGAGCTAATTTATTCAAATAGACATAATTAACACTGATGAAATTTTAACGAACAAATGCTTGACAAATGGCACAAAATTTCAAAGGAAAAATTTCAAGGCAGCATTTTTTTTAAGCACGGGAAATGGGGAAAAATATATACGTCCTCGTTACTTCAAACACGCAGACAAAACAATTCAACAAAAAAATAAAAAGCGTACCTTTGATGATAGGTAGACCGAATTGTGCATATTTCTCCCAACAAAATTCAATATTATGGAGCTGTGCAAATATAGGAGAACGCAAGCGCGTGGAAGCGCGCAAATGTACACATGCGAAAAGTCAAAGTTGTGGAAGTGTAAAATGCCAAGCACTCTGCAGCTTAACCCAGGTATTTGCAGATGACCTGGCTGAAAACAAAGGTTTACAAATTAAAAAATGAAAAAAAACCAAAAAAAAAGCCTTAATGACAGTAGTAAGGAACAACTTATAATTCATTTCAACTATAATAAGTCTAACGAGCATCAAATTACGTTTTTATATTTCCCTCCCAATTTACCATTTCTACTTTAAACAAAAAATTGCTCTATATGCACACCTTATTTTAACTTCATCCATTAAGAACAAATAACGGTCCTTTTAAAAGGGGATACGAATAATTCTTAAAGAAAATGTTGGCACTTATGCACAGCCCTTTATCCTTTATGCCTTATTTTCGCACAAAAAATTTACAGCATTTCTATATGCCCCCCAAAATTGTCATCAGCTAACATTGGTGGGATAACAACCCCCCTAACAGTATTTTACAATTGTTTAGTTTAACTTATGTGTAAATTCCCCAAATGTGCGTAAGCGCTTTCCTTTTATCATTTCACACGCTACCTTCTACGGACATAGATAGGACAATACAGGTGTTTCATCAAGGCTGGGAAACTAACCCTGTAGTGCTGTTGTATTCCTGTAGAGTTAGCTTTTTTTTTTTTTTTTTAAGCGTATAGAAATGATCATGTACGTACATAATATTTATTTTAAGGTAGCTAAAATTTTGTATATTAACATTGCATGTGCACAATTTTTTTTTTTTTTTTTTTCTTTTAATCTCTTCTTATGAAAAAGGATAAAAAACAATTTAAGATATTTTTAAAAGAATACACATCTTGTTTGCGATTGCCTGGTGATGATCTTTGAATTGTCACTGCGTCAAAGTTTCTACAACAGCAGGAGTAACAGATTTTTAAGTCTAACTTTGTACACTTTCTATAAAATAAGAAAAAATGTGTACACAGAAATTTTCTGAACGGCAAGGTAGATAGCCAAACTATTTTCTATCTACAAAAAAAAAAAAAAACAAAAAAAAAAAAATAGTAGTAAATTTTTCAAAATTGGCACTCTGTACCGCTATTTTAAAACGAGAAAAAAGTAGAACACTTGTTTGCGTGCACATTTGTAAATGATTAATGACTATTCATACATATATTTTACCTGTTTAGTTGTTGTTATAAGGGCAGGAGTATGAGGATTGATGTTTGTCGTTTTGTTTCGATTTGCATATTTGTCCCGTCTTTCGCATTTTTCCCCATTTGTACTCTTTTGTCCCCCTTAAATGTGAAGTGTACACTCCTCACAACTATTAACACTGCACACAGAAACATACGTCAAATTTGTGACACATTCACGGATGAGCACAAAAATTCAACGTTGGACAGCGTCACATGTATATCCAACTGTATAACTCACATGAGGATCTACCCCGCCCCTCATAAATGTTTCACTTTTAAGATAAATACATAATAAACTATTTGTTCTCCTCTCGATGGGCTTCTAAATTATGAGGGCACAAAGTGAGACGATCAAATCATCAACTCCTCTTAGGAGAATCCCCAAGAATAGAGGAACGGTTGTGCGTAATGTCAGCGAAATAAATCCACTGTCGGAACAGGAGCTGAAAAATGTCATACATGTATACGCGGAAGCGAATAAAGCTTATTACCTAAATTGTGCAAAGAATGAAAGAAACTCCAAGAAGAAGAAAAAAAAAAACAACGTTTCCAAAAAGACGGAAAGTGAAGAATTTGATACACATACCCTGAACCCCTTGAACTACCGAAATGAAAAATTTGAAGAGAATGGGGCTCTTTTACATTTGCCAGGATCGAATGTTACTCCGAATTATATGTCCCAAAATCCAAGTGCAGACTATGGAGTGTCTTCCCTGGCATATGGGACACTTCACAAATCGAATCCGTTATCATGGGGATGCGATTACAAGAAGCATTACGAACTTCCAACTATTTGTTCAATTGTAAAGTCGAAGCATCCCATTTATTCAAGGCCTCAAAATGCGAACAACGGAAGAAAGAACAGCAACATTAGTCTTCAAAATAAAAGTAAGAAGAAAAGTGGCATCAAATTGCTTGCAGAAAGTTGCCAAAATGATAAGTCCTTTACGGTTAAAAAGGTACCCACGTTTGGAAACGGCAAAGAAGACGAAATTGAAAAACTCCACCAGGATAACCATAAAAGTAGCGCACATGCATTTGAGAAAAACACCGTCGTAGACACTACTATGAAGGATAGCAGCTATTCAGACAAATCGAAAGATATTTCTGACGGCACCTTTAATTATCACGGCTTTTCTGACGACTCGGAAGGAAGTAGCGTAAACAATTCTAACATAGGAGGATTAAAAAAGGTGCTGGAAGCGTGCGAACATAACTGTAATTTTACCCTCAAAAGGCAGGACTACAACGAGGAAAGGAGAAACGGAGAGCACATTATTCAACACAAGAAGAGAAGCAAGAGTCAACATAACGAATTAAATTTTGTAAACCCTAGAAAAACGAACGGGATGCTAAATATACCCTCAAATAATTCTGTAGACATAATTTTATCGAACTCGACCATAATGGAAATGAGAACTTCAGACACAGAGTCAAAGGGTGCTTACTGCTCGAGTGAAAAACACAGCGGAGATTCTTCTGACTGTCTGAACGATTCGCACGATTATTCAACTCCGCATATGGGAATGAGGAGGGCGCACAACTACAAGGATCGAGAAAAACGCAAACATAAACTGGCGGCCCATTCAAGCACTAAAGGTCTCAAAACTAATGGCAAGCCAACTAAGCCTAGCGCATTATCGGAATGTAAAGAAAGCTATTATGAGCCTTATTCGAACGTGACAGAAAGGAGCACAAAAAAGGGAAAGGTTTTAATCAGATGCAAGGTGCCTAAACCCGGGGAAAAACACAACCCAAACGGTTGCGCACATGTAATGTGCGAAAACAAGAACAACCAAAAATTGAAGCAAAGTGGGAAATATAGAAATAACGACTCTTCCAAGAATGGTTTGGACCAAGAACACAATTTGCTTGATGAAAATTGCTGCAGTAGGGGAAAAAAAAAAGGCAAGACAAGAGGATTGAGACATGGCAAACGTGTGAGTAAGTACAACCTACAGAGTAGTAGCCATGTAAAGAACAAAAAGCCTCTAAACATGAGAGCGATCCAGCCTTTAGGATGTCAAAATGGTGCGTCTGTAGGCACTCACAATATTGTTGCATCTAAGCCTACTATTAGGGAGACCTCAAACGTAGAAGGATGCAGTTACGTCAATGTGAAGAACACACCTAATGAGAAGTTTTATGCAAGAAAAGAGATTGACAATCTGGTGAGTGGAAGCATTCCCAAGGGGTTAACTCTAACAAATCGCGAAAAGGAAGCACATCCTGAGGGAGGACCAGTTTACGCATATGCCTTAGGAGCTGATACAATGCCAAGGACACCACTAGTCACTTATAACATGTGCGAGAATGTACCACAGGCAGGAATGAAAAATCTATCTCAAAATGTTTTTGCTGAAGTGCGACCTGAGTTAGCTAATGTTAATTTGTGTGTACCTGAATATACGGCAAGGAGGTATCCGTCGGCATCGCTTTTGCCAAACTTTGCAGCCCATTCAGTTCCAGAGGGGAATACGCCAATGCCGAAGAGCCATTTGCCTCGTGCGCATGCACAGGTGATTCACGTACCCCTAGATCTGTCTCAAGGAAGATTGCACTTACAACGGGCAGCACCACAGATGCAAAGGGTAGCAGCTGAGGTGCATGGATCAGGGGTTCAGACGCAGGTTCCCATTTTGCAAACGCATGTACCCATTACGGCGGCGCTAGCGCCATACGGACAAGCCGATTTTGCACTGAAAAGTGACTCCCTGCCTCAGGCAAACACTCCACAGAATCAAGCGAAGATGCAGCAAATGCCATTTATAGAAAAACCGATTGTTCTTGAACAAATTCCACTGGCGAATGTAATTTCAAGTGGAAATATCAGAGCCGCTGACAAGATTTGCAGCCTTACAGAGTTAACAAACCAGTTAGTATCGGTTAAGGGGGAAAACAGGGGAGAGTACACTACTGCTAATGCCCTGTCCAAACCGTTTGATCGGAGCTGCAATAGGTCCCACACCATAGTAGGTAAAAACTCGGGCGATTTGTCAAAGAAAGGCTGCGCAGAAGAAGACGTTTTCACAAATTCGCTAATAAAGGGAAATGGCAATATAGACGCTACATACACGATTAATACCAGTTCAAACAAATGCAAAGATCAATTTAAAGGCTCTGATGCCAAGGTGACATTTTCAAAACGAGACAGTGGAATGCCTTCATGGGTAAAAGCGTGTATAGATACTCAAAATACAAGTCTGAAAGGTGAAGATGCAAATGTAGGCTATCTAAATGTATACACAAATAAGATAAATGAAAAGACAAACACTAATGTTAACAGCTCGGTAGGAATTCTTCAGTGTCTTTCAAATATACAATCACCTACCAATGATGTGTACCAGCAACCTCATACTGCTCAACATGTGGCACATAAAAAAAGTGTCAATCCGGAGGATATGTCTGAGTTAATTAAAACTTCAAATGAGAAATTTATAAGTATGCAAAAGAAACAATTGTTAGACATTTTACAGGAAAAGGGAGATGATGGATTGAGGAAGACCATTCACACAGTGGACAGTAGCCACCACACCAATGGAGACTTAAATGTTCAATCCATAAATCAGGTAGGTGGAGAAAAATATCAGAACATGTTAGGTAGTACGGTCCAGTACTTCTCCTACGCAAATGCTGTAGAAACTCCGAAAAACTCTGCAGGTGAAATGGAAGGGGTAATTTTTTCCGCTATGCCCCAAGAAGTAAGCAGCAAGAATCAGCCGGCTCAAAACACCCCCCAATTACCGGGCCATTTAAACTGATTGATCCCTCCCCCACGGAAAAGCAAAGCATGAAAAGCGCTGAACGTGTTGGAAATGATATGGGGGAGGGGAACGGAAGAGAATTTGAAGTCAAAAAATCGGAGGGAAATCATTTACTCCTTAAAGAAGGTGTAAAAGTAGATTTGCACAACTCTAACGATGCGCGCTTGTCCCGTGGCAGTTCCACGAATGATCCTTTGAACATTGGCTTCACGAAGGAGAAGTTGAATCTGCTCTTTTATGCAGACGCGGAAAGGAATTCACTCGAGAATGTTGATAGGGAGGATGGCAATACAACATCCACTAGCAGTGAGCAGGAAAATTGTCCGCAAAGTGATCACAATAACGAACCAGGAGCACAGTGCGCAGACTCAAATGGCAATGCAGTCAGCGCGGACAATGCTGAGGGGGACGATGGAAAGTTTATTCATGTAGGAATAGGCGCGAGGTTCAGAGAGGAAGACCACGTCAGTGATCATTGTGCGAATGACGGTATTTGTCGCAAAACGCGGTGGCCCCGCACCATCAGGGGGGAGAGCACAAACAACATCATCGACCACATCTGGGAAAGGAACTGCGAAATGAACTTCGAGAAGAGTTGCGAAAAGAATTGCGATAAAACCTGTGATGAGGGCATAGACTTGACCAACCGCAGCGATGATCTCCCCGACGACAGTGGACGCACCGCGGGCAGAAGCCACGGCGGCAATACCTCCAATGTTGATGACGTGGTACGGGTTAATTCTGCAAATGGTGCAAGTGACAACGGCGAAGTTGAACGGGGAGAAGCCACGAATGGCAGCACGCACGAAAGAAACCTCCAGGATGATGCATCGAAGAAAACGTACGCACTTGATGGAGTCAGAGGTAGAGGACTGCAGGACTTGGAAGGGAATAATACAAGAAACGTTATTAAGGTTATGTACAAGGAACGAGTGGACAAGTGTGGACTTGCAGAAAGGACGCAAAAGGGGGAATTGCCAGAGCTGAAAAAGGAGAAATGTTCTGTTAATCACAATTTTGATGAGGGGAGGAAGCATAATGGGGTCGTAAAATGCGTAAATTTCAACCATGCATTTGAGAAACCTCCAAGTTTTAACGAGCGAATGGAGGAGCTGAAGTTTCTAAAAGAGATATATGAGAAGGAAAAGGTGGACAAAGGAAAGGGAAGCGACGAAGAGGCGAACCACAATTTCAAAGTTAGCACAATTTCCGGAACTCAAAATTTGTCAGTGAGGAGGAATGCTGCTAATCTAAATTGTCCCTACGACAAGCACAATACTTTTAACAGAGAAGACAAGGTGAAGACTTTTACCAATGCAATATCTCATTTGATAAAAAACAGCATGGAGGAAAGACAAAAGGGGGATGATAATTCGTTCGGAACATTAGCCCCAACAGCTCGTACATGGTATGAACCCATTTCTGCAATTCCGGGTAGCTTCTTAGAAGAACCAAAGGTAAATAAAATAAACATAAAGTACAGTCATCATCAGGATGGGCAAAAGGCAGAAGGTGCTATAAAAGATCGCTCAAACAAGGAGAGGAACTGTGGCGAAGGAGTCATCACCTCTAAATGTGCAAGAGACAAAGGGAAGGACACCAAATATATGTCTGCTACACAGCGCGACGATCCTAACTCGGAATATTCTTTTAATGGAAAGATTAATCTTTCACATGGAGGTGCAAATGGTGAAGCGTTGAATAATACGCCGCAGAACTGCCTCAAAAAATTCACTTTTGCAGAAGCCAATCCACTTTTTGAAGACTCCAAAGTGACATATATGGAATCACCTCAAGGGAGTCCAAACGGCACCTTTGTAAAAAATAAACTGATATTAAATAAAAATAGATGCGAGATATTTAATCCCGGTTCGATTCATTATGGTGCTCGAAAAGAAACGCATAGCGTGTGGTCAGGCAGGAATTTATCGAGGGGGAAAAAGAAGACTAACAAGGATTTACACCTGAAGGAGTCCATTAAAGGGAGAATAATATGTGAGAATGATGGGAGAAGGGTTCGCAGAAGAAACACTGCTGAGAAGAGGGACAAATATTCGATCCATGTGTCCGATTATTCTTCAAATCGAAATGATGATTATGTCAGCTACATGATGAGTAAAGAAGGTACGCAGAATCGTTTGGCTAGTGACCTCCCCGTTTTACCCCCCTGTGACGACGCTAAATACAACGATTATAATTATACTAGCACATGTGGTAATGACACGAAGGTGTTAAGGCATATGGGGAAGCAATTCGAGCGGCTGGAAGAGGCACGACTAGGGAAACCTCCACACATAGAAAAGTTAAATAACGATGTGTCTTTCAGATGTTCTGTACAAAGTAGCTTGAATAGGAAAAGCACCGAACGAGAGAATGTATTAGGGGGCAAAGTACTTAGTAGTGATGCTAATGACCAAAATTGCAGTAACACCCTTTTTTGCTGCCCTGTGAAGGAAGTCACCAGCGCTCCTCCCATGTTGTCTAGAACCACCACTCTGATAAATAAATTATTTAGAAAAGGAAAGAAGAGTGCAGAAAATGTAGACAAAAGGGAAAAAGATTTTAAATGCGTTGACAAGGTACCGAAAAGTAGTTTGGAGGAAACAAAAAGGGATCCGTTATTGGGTAAATGCTCCGTTACTTTTAAGGAAGACAAATCTGACTTATTTGAGCTTCCCACTGGGCAAAAAGCAGGAAGAACATTCTCGTATGTGTCAAATGGAACGAATGCGTCGAGAAGGCTCTGCACTAATTGTCCGACTATTCCGTGTGAACCGTTGAAGAGGGGAAGAAGAGCTGCTACACAATTGTATAAGGAACAGATAAACTTACCTGCATACGCGCATAGGACAATACACGATGATGGGAACACCACTACCATGAATAACGCACCTCCTACCGCTATGCCTTACCCTAAGTGTGAGCTTATATGCAAAATTCCGAGGAGGGCCTTCACTTCTTATTTTCAAGGCAGAAATTGTTAACGCGGGGATGCGCTTTGGGGAAGGAAAAACTCGTAAGGGCAGCTTACTGCAGAGGAGGACCAGAAGACGGAAAAAAAAAAAAAAACAAAGGGGAACACGAGGTGTATGTACACTAGGGAAAAATGTAAAGTTGGGGTGAAGAAAAGGCTCATTCCGCTTTCATCACATGGGTATCAAAACAAAAGGCGCGACACATACACATGTGCATGTGCGCGCATGTTTTGTTAGTTAGTTTGCTTGTTCGTTTCCTTGCTTGCTCCTTTAATGACTTATCATTTTCTTTAAAGCCCGTAAAATGGCAAGTGAGAACCATGTCCACATGTAACGGGTCTACTGCTAAATTGAGCAGAATACGCGGCAGCACACATTTTGCACACACGTGGGCGTCGCCATTGGGACAGGAAAAGGCGAAACACGCCGCAGGGTAGCGCTATAAAGAAGCCTGCACGGATTGACAGAGGGTGCACATTAAAGGCAGTAAGCTAGACCAGCATCCATTAATCGCAATCGGAACAACTGCAAATTTTGTAAGCTTCGCGAAGTGAAGTGCTATTTTAACTGTTCTCCCCTATTTGAGCTCCACCCACTCAAGATAGGAAGCAACGGAAAAGAAAAGAAAAAAGTAGTTGCACAAAATGGTATATCTCAATTGTGATGACAAGCTATATAACAAAACGAAGCTGTATTCCCCAGTTGGTGATTCTACTTTGGGTAGTGTGCATGGAGTACCTTTGAATTATTTTGATCCCCCCTGGGGGGGTCCGAATGAGAATCTTCTTCATACACTCCACGAGCAGAGAGAGAATAGTGAAGTTCTTCCTACATATGGGAAGAAAAAAAAAAAAAAAAAAAAAAGACGAAAATTCGTATGTGTTACAATTGTAAGGCACCCACGACCGCTGAAAGGAAAAGTAACGCCGACCATGACAGCCACCTGAATGACAAATATTTTAGTCAGTCCAAAAAGGGAGATTACAAACATGCAAAGATAAATATTACGACAGATGATCACTATACAGAAAGTGATTACACAGATGGTTCTGAGCACACGGTTCCTACTTTGGACAAATGGAAGAAACCTCGAAAGAAATTTATGGGGAAATATTTTTTTTCCGAGATAGCTAATAGTTTTTTACACCCTTGGAATGGGTGGTGTCCCTCTACTGCACCTCAGTCGGGTGTAGTGAACCCTCGCCTTGACTGCTTGCATTATAGAATAGCGGCGAAGAGAAAGGGGAGCGAAGGCTTCATAAAACCGGAAATTATCGTCCGATTTTAGCGAAAAGGTTGTGTGCAACCATTAAGATGTTGAAGCCGGGTTGCTCAGACTAGCACTGACTCTTCATTTGAAGCAGATCCTGGGTGCTATTAAGTCAATCACTTCTCTGGAAGGATGCCATGTCTCATCTACTGCGTGCATAAGTTCGATCCCTTGCCGTCCTCTAACCTATGCGACCAGTTTGTTTTGTTCACCTGTGTATGTTCGTACTGCGCGTTTCCATTCGTCTATACATATATATATATATATATTTTTTTTTTCTTATCAGCATTTGTTATTAATATGGAACACTGTCCTGCCCCCGCTTGAAAAAAGCGGCGCAATTGTTTTTAGCGGATAGGATCTTTTGTTCATTTGTCCTCTGCGTTTGTCCAACCTACTACATTGTATGACCTGCTTCGCTCTCTTTGCGCGCCTAATTTGTTAACCTGTAGTGACAATCACCTTGATGCTGTTATCCACGCGAAAGCATGCTAGTGCGATGGGCCCAGAAAAATGTAAAAGGACGACCATGCTTTGTAAGTGGCCCGAGGAGAGGTGTCTCTTTTGAGTTCCCGGACAAGGGGTCGGCGTATAAGTAAAAGGGAAACTTCCTCGGGGGTGAGGAAACACCACGGGAGGATAGCATTTTAACGAAATCCTCCATGTGGGGATAATGTAGCTACCAGTTGGGACATAGCAAATCATTGGTGAGAACAAAAAAAAAAAAAAAAAAAAAACATGTGTTTGTGTCAAGTAGGTTGATAGAGGAGGGTGTGTGGGGGGAAAATTTCCCCCGTGCATATCATCGTGGGCACAATAAGGGGTTTTAAAAAAATTACTTAACAACAACAAAAAAGTGGGTGGATGAGAGTGTGGAGCCAACAAATATACATGTGTGAACAATCCGATTGTGCGGAGCAGAGGAAAAGATGCGCCTTACAATGAGGGGTGTAAAAATTGTTGGTGGTGATTTTCTCAAAATAGAGGTTATACAGTTGACTATGAAGCTTCTTCCTTTTCCTTCTGTGTGGCTTCTGTCATTTTATTAAAAATTTGTTGAGCATCCTTATATAGGTTCTTATATGAATCACTTAATTGAATTTGAGTATCATTTTTAATCACATCTGTGCAGTTGCGGAATAGTTGCATGAATAATTTTTTATCCGTCACTGCTCTTTCTACGTTGAACGTTTCCTTTTCATTGGTCGTCATTTTCATTTTCTTTAATTTGGAGGCGTTAATACGGGCCTTCATGTCATTTAGTCTGTGTAGGAGGAGGTAATGCGTCTTGATGTACTTCATCAGATTGGGGTTGTAAATATGTAATTTTAATTCAGCTCCTTTGTGGTATATATCTTTCAGTTCTTCTGTGGTATGATTTTTAAACCTCTTGGTCTTTAGGCTATTTTTTATATTTTCGATGAAGGCTTTTCTCTCTCTTATCATTTTGGAATTTTTCAGTTTCATATTTTTTGTGTCATTTAGCTGGATGGAGGTTTTTACCCTTTTGAGGACGTTTATGAGATCCTGCAGGTTTTCAATTGGGGGGTCTATTTTTTGCTGAATGTAGAATGTTCCCTTATTACCATGACGATTCGTTTGTTCTTCATCGGGGCTTGGGATGAGGTTCTCTTCTAGAAGGTAACCCCCTCCGTTGTTGAGACCGTGTGTTAGTTTTTCATTCCGCTTGGGGTTATGTGTACCATTTTTTGTCTTATTTAAAATGGCACAATTTTTTTTAACAAGGGTCCTGGTGATGTTTCCAATTTTACCTCCAAGGGAGTAGAAGGTGTTTTCCGTCAGTTGTAGTTCTGCATCCATTTTTATTTTGAAAAGGTCCATTTTGTTTTTTAAATTGTAGGTGGCCTTAACATCATCGATGGTTTTTTTTACGTCCGTGGAAAGGGAAAGGAAATTATTAAAAGAGTCTTCGAACTCTTTGCTCATGGGGTCATCCGCCTTGTGCTTTTTTTCTTCCCTGTTAATGTTCGGAGGGATATCGAGCAGCTTGGCGAATGGGTACTTTTCAAACTTGTCCAGCTTATCCCCGTTCTCAGGTGCACCAAAGGTGAGGCAATGTGTTTCTGTCCCTACTTTTTGGAGCATCTGTGCGAAGGAGCTTCTTCCAACCATGTCGCTTCGGGGGGGAACAAGTTTTGACTCTACATAGGCTGATGTCTCTTTGGATAAATTTAAAACGGAGGACAGGGCTTGAAAAAAGTGTTCTTTGCTCAAGGATGGTTCCATATTGGAGGTTTCTTCCGCTTTTTTCGTACACAGTAGGTCATCATATTCGTTATCATTCAAGTGGTAAACGCAATTGTAAGTCTCCTGGTTGTCCTTCTTTCCTTTTCCATCACATGTGTGACAGTTTTCCCCCACAGATAAGGCGCTTGGGGGCATGTCACCACTACACACCTTTGAGAGGCTCCTAAAAATTTCGTAATAATTGCCTCGATAATGAAATAGCAGATCATTTTTAAGAGAAAAAATATTGTCCTTATGATTGGCCTGGCTATCCAATGTTAGATTTTCTAAATTCATTGTAGCAACGTCAAAAAATTTCTTCATTTCGGTTTCTACGTCTTCGTGGGAAGTGTCGTCCTCGAGGGTAACATCGTCAGAGAAGTTTAATAAAACGTTTACTAGAACATCTGGATGAGCATAGGAATAGTTTTTTGAGGATGGTTGACTTATTTTGTTTCCATTTTGCGGAAGACAAACCGGTGAGCTGTCCTTGTTCAACCGCTCCTGGGCAGTGTCGCTAAACATATTTACCTCCACCTGAAGGAGGTATGAATCGCTGGTGGCCAATTCAACGTGCTTAAAAAAAACGTTTTTCTTCCTTCTCCTCTTTAAGATAATTTTTCTTCCCCAGTTGTTTGTAATAAAATTCAGGTTTGCACATTTCTCATGGGTAATTTTTTTTCGTTTTATTTTTAATATTTTGACGACAATATTTTTGAATAAATGGGGATTGTTCAGGTCCACGTAAATGGAGCCCCATGTTCTGTCGCTCCTACCATTGATGGTGATTGTTTTTATTAATTTAAATTTTTTTGTTTTCTTTTGACACTTGTACGTGGTGAGTTGGAGGGTGTCTATCTCTACTTGTGTTTGGTTGGTTTTTTTTTCTGCAGATGGGGGCAATTCACTGTAGTTTTTCTCCACTGTGGCGTTACCATTTTTTGGATCAACCCCTCCTGAGGTATTCTCCTTTTGAAAGTCATTCTTTACGTCCAGGTTAATGTTTTCACCGTTGTGGTTGAAGGTATACATTTTGCAAAACGACGAAACTTCATTAACCCGTATGTTTGTCTTTTTCCTCTTTGTGTATTCTTCACAGGAGATGTCTTTCTCTCTAGACGGGGCAGCAATGGTTACCTCAAAATGGAGGTCCTTTCCGATTAGCCTCTCTGCCTTTTTTGAAACGACGAGAAATAGGTACGTGCATTCGTCCTTAGCCTCATCGTCATCATTATCACATGGAGGAATGCAAATTTTGTGAATAAAATTTTCCATCGAAATTTTGTAAAAAAGTTTTTTCATTCCGTTGTGGGAATCCTCTTCTTCATTCTCCTCGTCTTCATCTTCATCTCCCTGTTCTGTAATGTTCTCATTTTTTTCCGATTTTTTTTTTTTTTTTTTTTTCCTTCCCTTTCCATTTTGCACATCAAAAATTCCCTTCCATTTTGTTACGTTACAAATGTATAGATCCAAATGGGGCATAACTTTTAAATCGTTCGCTTTAGGAATTACATAAAAAAATGGTTCACGTAAATTGCTCACTTGAGGGATCGTCACTGTATATTTTAGCAGTACCTTGATCGGGCATTCCTTCCCTATATTCAATTTCTTTTTTAAAAACGCCATTTTCATTTTTAATTTTTTTTCAAAATATTCTTCTACACTCATAAAGGAGCACTTAATCAATCCTTCTTCACTTGGCGAATGTAGCGCATTGCTTCTATTTTGTGTGTGTTCCGATTTTTTTGCCTGTTCTGAGGGTCCCCCATGTTTTGTTTTATTTTTCTTTCCCTCGAGCCATTCAACGGAGAAGTCGCCCCTCTTGCTGCGCTTCACATACACAAGGAAAAAATGTTCCATGTTCCCCCTCAGGTGTATATTCCGTTTTTGAATTTCTTCATCAAAGTGGTAATCCTTCCATTGGTCGTGTCCGCAGTTGTTTAGAAAAAGGTTTGCAGGTAAGAAGCAGGCGGGGTTGCTTTCCCTGTCCTCTTTATCTCCCCCTGTTGCATCCTCATTTCGTGTGAGTCTCTCTTCGCCTATTTTCCTAACGAAGCACTCGAAGTTGAGGATGTCCTTTGGGGAGAGCATCGCGTGTTTTTCTTCCCCTGAGTGAAGACCGGAGTTACCACAACCACAGCCGCTACTTCCATCGGTAACTATTCCTTCTGGGACACGGCCCAGTGTTGATGTGAACAATGTGAGAAGTCCCCCTTGGCGTTTTTCAGCGTGGCTGAAGATAGGGCGCTTTGTCTCGCTCCTTTTTCGCACCATGATGTCCCCCCCTGTGCACCTTTTCCTCTTTCCAACTTTGCAGGAAAAAAAGGAAAAACAAAATTCGTGCAGCCCGTCAGATAAAGCTTCCTCATTTGGCCCTTCAAATACATCATTAGAATTGGTACAGCCGTTGCTGCTACTTGGCCCATATGGCCCATTGTGCGTTTTAATATCGTCAGCACGGGGTGACAACTCGGAGTTGCTTCCACTCCGATTGATGCAGACGGAACAAATGAGCATAAGATATGGAAAGCTCTCCTCCTGTGTAGCGTCAGAAACACTTGACAAAGGGTCACTACTGCTGTCTTTTTTCTTCAGCTTAACTTTACCATGATTCTTTTGAGTTGCTTGAATTTGAGCAGTTCTGTTTTTAGCATACCTGTTGGTGGACGCAACTTCGAAGTGGGTTCTGTTGACGAGGAAAAAAATCGTTTCCCCCTTGGCTAAGAAGTTATTACCATTCGTTTTTATCACATATTGGTATGTGTAGTTTACGTTTACTCTTTGGGTAAGTATCTCCAGTTCTCCTTCGTCCAGCCATTTGTCGAGGTCCTTGTGGGCGTTCTGCCATGGTGCACGCGTGTATAAACACGTGTGTAAGGAGGCACAAGGAGTGGTTACGTGCGGTGGTTTGGGCCTGGGTGTCGACCTCTGCCTCTCTTGGGTGCCCCCTTTGTGTATTCGGTTAGTGATGAACTTTTGCATAAAATGGTTGCCTCGGTGGGAGGTGGCCAGGTGAGGTGACGGCGCCGAGCTGACTGCACAGTGGACTAACTACAGAGTGAACTAATTGCGACTTTGAAAGTGTGTAGTAGCACCCACGCACCATGTCACACGCGTCCAAAACAAACTCCCTGCCTGACACATATTTGCACTGGTTGGTTCTACTTAAATGTGCACAGGGGGGTGTATGAATTACCTTTTTGCCCGACTTGGAGGTACCCATTCTGGGGTGCCTGCCATCCGATTCCTCGCTGACTGGTTTAGCTCGCTTAGTGTTATTCTTAGCATCTCCTAAAATTTTTCTAATTAGTTGAATCACCTGTTGAGTATTCTCTTCATTCACCGTAACGTCACATGTGTCACAATTCGCATCACTAAGATTGTCTGCTTGGGGTTCCTTGCTCATATCACGTGCATTGAGATTTTTATCTGCCCCCTGGTCTGCTTCCTGTCCCTGCTCAGGAATACCATTCGGGGGAGTCAAAATATTTACTGGTACCAGTTCTGTGTCTTTAATCCGGATGTTTCCCCTGTCGTTGATGTAAGCATACCCTTTGAGGAAAACATCCTTCTTTGCTTTAAGCATAGACTGTTGGTACGCGGAGTAGGATGTACAATGGAGAGGCGTAACATCTTCGCATTTTATTTTTATATATTCATTTTCCACTGAGCAGATGAGGAAGAAGAAACGTCCGTGCGGGTGCTTCTCATTAGGACGGGAGCTGCTCAAGGACAAGCGGGTGTTTGGAAGCACACACAGATCTGCTCTCGTGTTATTCTTTCCCTTCACAGTGTGTATTTGGTGCGTTGTTTTCTCTGAATGTTCAGCGCATTGCTTTTCGTTTAAGTTGGGGTGTGAATTGGCTACGTCAGCATGTCCACAATTGACGCTCATTATGTCGCTGATCTTGCCAAAGAGCACCGCGCAGGGGATGAAAAAACATTTCTCCGCCCGTAGGTGGTCCCCGAAGGGGATAAAGTCGTATGACTTGTTTATACATTTGAGCCCCGTTAACATCTCGAGGAGGTGAAAATGATAATCGGGCAGGTGAAAAATTTGAAAGCAAGTTAGCAAAGCCTCCATGAGAATATGTGGCCATAACTCTTTCTCATTCAGAGAGGGGCAAGACAAAATTTGATTCTTCTCATCGTATGGTAGGGTCAGGTGTACAAAGACTAAACGCCATTTATTATTTATGTATAATTTAACCAAATAGTAGCTCAATCTGTTTGGCACTGGGAAGGACGAACTCGTTTGTGGATGTATCAGCTCGTACAAATAATTCCCCCTAGGTATGAGGGCCTTATTTTCTTTTATTAAGCATACAGAGGAGTAAAAAAATCTGAAGAAATCGCTTTCCTCTTTGTATGTCACTTGTGCTTTTCGGCATTCATAATTTTGATACGTCACTATGCACTGGCCATGTGTTCCACCGTCTTTATGATTTTGGTGCTTCTTAAAATATTGTTCCGTGTCTTGGTCCAGCTTTTCCAGTAGATTTTCGAATTCCTCCAGGTAGTTCTTCACCTCCTCCGGTGATAACAGCGCTTTTTTTTCTTTTTTTTCTTTTGTCCTTTTTCCTTGCTTAGGGGGGGAATTCAAAGCCTCAGAACTGTTGTTGGGGCATTTGTTCTTTTCAGTGATTAGCGTGTCGTTCTTCTTCCCCTCTTCACCTTCACCGCACTGTCTGCCATTATGCGGCGACACCTCTTCTAATTCACATTCGGGAAGGTAATTTGGATCTTTCCAGTGGTGCACTTTTTGGCCACACAAGTTTAACCAAGTTTTGACCCGCTTGGCTTCCCTTTTGGCGCGCTCTTTGCCGATCCTCCCAAAGGCGGGATCCCGTAGCACCTCCTCAGTTACGTATTTTTTCCACAAGTCAAGCGCATTTTTGTTGCCCTCGAAATCTACAATTGTGTGTTTGAGAAGGGTGTCCTCCATTGCACTTTTTTTTTTTTTTTTTCTTCGCGCAGGTTGTCATTCGCGGTGGCATTTGCAGTGGCTTTTTTTTTTTTTTTTTTTTTTTTTTTCCCCAATTTTTAGTGTTTTTTTTTCACGTTTTTACAACCTTTTTTTTTTTTTTTTTTTTCCCCCAATTTTGTGGGTTTTTTTTTCACGTTTTGACAACCATTTTTTTTTTTTTTCTTGCCCCCTTTTGTTTATCCTATTTAGCGTACGCTCTTTCTTCGCATTTACTCTGAAGGTAAATTAAAAATGAAGTGAAGTTTATCAGGAGTGGAATTCCAAAAAGGGAGGACGCCGCAGACGTTGGGTAAAATTACAGCAGTTGGTTTTCGTCCCCTTTGCGGAGCTTCTTCCTCCTGAACCCTGGGGGACTCCCCAAATTGTTCATCCGGGGGTAGCAGCTCGGCTATTGGCCGTTCTGCAATTTGACGTTGGCCACATTGACGGCTTACCAATTTAAGCTCGTCACAGAAACCGCTATAAACATTCGGGGGAACACAAAATGGCTCGGAACGTTGAGAAAGGGAGGTCGATGCTGAACCAGTGGCTGAAGGCCAAGGAACTGAGTGAACAGAAAAGCTTTTTTAAAATTCCCAAGAGGGTTAACGAAGTGGAGGACTTGGAGACCGCTGTGTCGTGGTAAGCACAAAAAGGGAGAGAAGCGGAAAGGGAAGGAAAAGAAAGGAAGCCCATTGTTATCGTTCTTTTTTTGTTTTTTTTTTTTTTTCTACAAATATGCCCGCGTCGCTGCATTTACTTTTTCTGTGTGTCTTTGCCCTACGTGCGCGCAAATGGGTGTACACCTTGAGGTAGGCACTCACGTGTTTTCCTTTTTTTTTTTTTTTTTTTTTTTTTCCCTTTGTTTTTTTTTTTTTTTTTTTTTGTGCATTGTGTAACTTTTGGGTACTTCTATACGCACACGTGAGGCATCATTGCGGTCTTTTTTATTTTTTTGTGTATTTAACCCTTGGGCCTCAACCCGTGCTGTCCACCCATGAACAAATTTTCACTTTACCTCAAATTAATAATTATTGAAATGAAGGACAAAATGACCAGCGGAAGCAGTGCGTAGCCCAGCATGCTTATCGTACGGTACAGGTCCAACGTCAGATTCTGAAATGGTTTACAAAAAGGAAAAAATTAAACATATACTTATAAGTAATGAAAACGCAACAGTGGCTTCTTCTTTTTTGTGGCACATGTTAGCAGTGTGTACGAATTTTTACGAAATCACACAATGGGGGAAGCAATTCATATACTTTTTTTTTTTTTTTTTTTTTCCCACCTGGCTCATCATGTTAAGGAGAAGATATATGCTCAGACTGCTAACAATTCCGATCAGGTATATGTAACTGAAGGAGGCTTTTCCGGCCTGCGAGGAGGGAAGGGTGTACGATTGTTTGGTAGGCTAACGGGGTGAGTGATAATTTTAGCGAGCACAAACGCAGCGCTTCTTACCAGTAGCAGTATGAACCCTAAGGCAAGCACAATGATTAACGGCCCGGATAAATCTGAATTTTCGAATAACGTGTCGTCTATTCTGTGGAGGAGGGCATCACGAAGGGGGAGGGGTGTAGGGGACATAAGTGTACAATGAGATAATTGCAAAATGTACACATGTAGACTGCGTATATGTGGAGCCATTTTGGAAGATCCCCTCCCATATGTGCACACGTATTAGACGGACGATCACTCGTGAAGGGTAACACCTCTCTCAACACAATTCTTACTTGTAAAACATAAAAACAGATTTCATCCTTTTCGAAATTAAGTCAAAATTGATACCTAATTCTTCTAATAAGGGTGGTTCATCTTCCTCGTCTTCTTCATCCTCTTGTCGCTTGTGTTGGTTTTCTTTTAATTTATTTTTATTTGTTGAGATAAAATTTCCAAAAAAAGGTTCCGCGCTTGAGCCCACATCTTGGTTAGCATTTGGGGGGTTGCTAAATGGGCTTGTCACCACGCTGTTGTGGTTGCCGCTTGCACTTCCACTTGCGCTTACGCTACTTTGTGTGAAGTTAAAACCTTTTGGTGCAGCACTGCTTTGGTAGAAATTATTTTCAAAGGGGGCACTGGGGATCACATTGTTACTTGGCTTGTTGTAGTTACCACCTTCATATATTTTTTTACTTACAGATGGGTTTGTAACACTGTTTATATTATTTAGGTTGCTTTCGTGGGGCCCGAAATTGGAATCGTCATTATTCTCATTTCGGTTATTTCCACGGTTTATTATTTTCTGGTTGTAATAGTTCATTTTGCACAGGAGGGGGGGGGGGGGGTCTATATAACTTTTTATGAGGATGGTTTATTTGGCGATGTTGTATAATATGCCCTTAACGTGTTCTCCTTGAGGGTCACTTACACCCTGTGCGTTTGTCTTTGTCTCGCCACTTGTCCTTTCGCTAGTGTCGAACACATGGCACAGGTACGATTTTGTATAAAGTTGGCAACCCTCCCTTCCCCTCTTAAGTCGCCCAACTACACACGGCTATGCACAGCTACACAAAAGGGCAATGTATTATAGGTTCGAACAAACAACGGCCTGCAAATGTCTCCTAACGTGTTGTATGAAAAACACCAACGTCGAGTTGGTTGACGGGGGACTACACAACTTTGGTTCTTCTTCACAAGGGAAATTTAGGCAAGCAGGAAGGAAAAGGCACAAAAAAGAAAGAATATACGTTTTGTTAGGTGATATAAAAATAAAGTACAATAAAATAAAATAAAAGAGGCACAACATAGATTATCATACGTGTGCATGTTCAAATGGAGCGCGCTTATTTTACAAAACTAAAAAGGCGCCTTCAAACCCCTCCTAACAGAGTGGATATACTTTTATATATATATACGCATTGTTCTTGTTTTTTTTTTTTTTTTTTTTTCCCGTTTTGAGTGAACTCCAAATATGTGGCAATGAGTACTCAAACGGGGGTATATCATCAGTACTGTTTGATTGTGCCTCTCTGCCATTCTTTTTCATTGCGCTTCTTCAGTGTTAAAAATGGGAAAATTATACTAATTGTTCAGGACGAAGATTCAAATGAATGGAGGCAAGGAGCGGCAACGCGACGTGGAAACAATATGCATGTATGGTTTATGTATTAAATTATTGCATACCATTTTGCTACGCCTACCGCTTTGTGTTTTTTCTTTTTTTTTTTTTTTTTTTTTTTTTTT